TTCTGTACCCTTGTTACTACAGTCTGTAATTAAATTTAAAGTTCTGTATATATAGGGAGTAATGACATTATTTACTGACCCTTTCTGGCATTAAGCTTCTTGAACTCATGCCAAAGCATTGCATTGTGCAGCACAATTGTGCTCCCACCATTCAGTATTTTGGCTTGGTCTGAAGAGCGCTGACAGAGACAGGCAGTTAATGCAAAGCTCTAAGGAACAAATTTAGTTTCATCATTCTGGATAATATTAAAAGTGAGAACAGAGTAATTTAGGAAACAGTGTGGCTTCACAAGAGAGAGCTCCCAAGAGCTGCTGCAGCACACTGTCTCAGCACTACTGTTTATAAAACAGAGACTTATGCAACATAAAACCATTTGGATGTTGAGTTCAAATACCTTAAAACTGGAGACATCTCAGTTCCTGCCAGCTACTCCTGTCTATCGAATATTAGGGGCTTATTTGAGAATGTGGTCTAGGTGTGTATTTTGAGTCTCCCCGAGGACGTAGTGGTCAATTGTGTCTTGCTTTTTGTGAGAAAAACATTTGTCCCAGCTGTTCAGACATTGTTTTGAAATCGGAGGGTTTTGGTGGTTCAGCAGCAATGGCTGGTATTTTAAATGGAACATTCTTGTTCAGCGTATAAAGAACTGCAGTGCAGCAAGGACAGGAAAAAGCCTAGTGACTCCTCTGCATGCTGGAGAGAAGGCAAACTGGGTCATAAGGAACAGTATCAGAGGAATAGAGGAACAAAATGAGGAAGGGAAGAGACTAAATCAGTATGAGGAGAGAAGAAACACAGACTCATGAAGGGAGGAGCTCTGACCATGCCCCACAGGGACCTCCAGCAGCACTCACACCGGCCCTGGTGGAATGAGCTCTATGGACCAACACGAGTGTCAGCCTCAGGCAAAGGAGCCTGGCTCTGGGAGCTCCAACCCACACAGGATCCTGCCTACTGCCTTTCCTTCAGGCAGATGTAACCCCACAAAAAAATCAAACCTGGTCCCTGATCCACTGATTATTTTGAGTATTTCTTTTCCTTCCTTTGAACTCTTAATTTCAGCATCACACAGAACATTTCCCTTCAATAGAGGTGACTCTTGTAGGAAAAATCTCTGAGGAGTATGGCTGGCATTGCTTCCTGTGGCAGAGTTGCCTGTGGAGTAAGAGAAAAAGCAAACTGATAGTACATACATAATTTTACTTCCCTTGAACTTGTCTTTCTGTATTCTTGGAACTCTATTTTTTCTCCCGTTTTTCTTCCTGGTGACAGCGTGAACGAAGTTATTCCCATCTTTCTTGTAGCTGGGTATCTTAGGAAACTGACTTAAAAGGGACGGCGGCATAAATACAGCATGCACGGAATATTCTCCCTTCCTGTTCAGAAGCTCAGGGGGAAAAAAAAAAAAAAAAAAGCTGCAGGAATAAACACCTGACCGCCCCGGTGGAAGTGCTGGGGCGGGAGCGGCGCCGGGACAGAGTTCCGCGGGGCAGGGTGACCCCTGCCGGGGGCGCTTTGTGCTGGAATTCCTGGGAAAATCCCAGCGCAGGAGCAGCGAGCTGCGCTCAAGCCTGTGTGCTCAGAGGAGCCTGATTACGTGTTACAGCATCGTGCACCGACCATTTCTTCATCATGCAAGCAGGAGGCTCAGGGACTGCGGGCTAGTCCCCAAACAGCAGGGGTAGGAATCCTCTGGCCTGCACCAGTGATGCTGATGCACTCAAACATCTGCAGCTCCTACTCTGTTCACCTGGTTGCTCTGCCAGTTCGAGTCCAGTCTCAGAAAGCTGGCTGCCCTCTGGTAAAGATCAAGGGAATAAATTCAGGCAAATTACTCCAATGGAAACAGGTCTGTGATGGTTATGTCTGAGGAGAGCAAGCCCTGGCTGGGCTGACCTCCAGAGATGCTTCTCCTCAAGTCACCCTTGCCTAGACTTGTGTGTCTCCCTCCATGCATGGCTAGCAGAGAGAGATTGCCACTGACAAGGAAACCAGTGCTCTCCTCCACAGTTGCCATGGAGTTGTGGGCTTCTGTTGCTTTGCTGGTGCCTTTTCAACCTGTCAAGGGACAGGGAGCAGTGCAAATGTGACTGTGACACAAGTCTGTGGAGCTTAGTCGTAGGAGCTGTTGAACTGTGCCCCGAGGGTTTTGGTAAGAGACCCAGCAGTCAAACAGGAGGAGATCTAATACTTGAAGGCATTTTAAAAGCAGACACCTGGCACCTATTTGCTGTCCTGGTTTTTTTGTTCAGTTAGCCATGGCGAGGAGCCCTGCAATTGTCAGCTACATCTCAGTGTAATTTTATACACAGGAATATTCACAATGTACTGTTCACTTAAACTAAGTCAAAACAGCAAGCTGTTTCTTTGCTAAGAAATGTAACTTAGTTCTCCCTGCTTAGCTATTCTCTTAAGCATCAAGAGACAAAGTCCAACATCCACTGAAAGTAATGGAAAGACATGGATGGTTTTCAGTGGGAGTTAGATCAGTGTTCAGTTAAATACACAATTCAATAAGGCAGGCTTTAACTGCTTCTCTTATTAATAACGCAGAAATTAGTTTACTCAACAGAGACATTTGGTCTTTATTTTAAAATTATTTTTAAATCCAGAAAATATTTAAACTGTGTGCCCAGCCAAGAGTTTGTATCTTCTATTGCATGAAGAGGCTCAGAAGCTTATTGTGTTAAAAAGCATGAAATTGTGGATTTCAGCAGATCCTCCTAATAAAGGCAATTATTAAAGTTGTTGTGAAGTTTGTAAAAGGAGAAATCCATGTGAGTTTTTTTCCTGAAGTTGCCTTCCACACAGTGCTCAGCCTCTTCCAAAAAGCAATGTTACTGGTCTAACATGGTCAGACAACACAACAACCCCTTCACAAAGCATGTACCAGGCTACCTACCTTTAACATGCACCCTGCCCCAATAGATGCAGGTGGAAAAGTTACCTGCTCTGGGTTAAGTCCTTGGATGTGCACAGGATGGAGAATTGAGTGTTTCACTTCTGAAACAGATTTGTGCCCTCCCCAAGTAAAGCTGACAAGCTAGACAGCATCACTTCTCAGCCCACCAGTTGAACTACACCATGCCCCAGCTTCATCTTAAGTTTTTGATTCTAGGAAGTTTATCTGAGGTAGCCTGCTACTAGTCCTACACTTCTTGTTGCTTTTTCCAAGGTATCTTTGCTGCAGAGTTGTTTTGAGAGATTAACAATCACGTGTGACACACAGATGAGCCAGACGGATCCACATGAGTGGTCTTGCTACAAAAAGGCACTTTTACTGATGCTGTGCTTTTCTCTCTGTATCATCAGGGGTTTATGGGGTTTTGTGCTTCAGGGAGTTAAAATTCTTGCCCAGGAAATAACGGAAGAAATGGCACTGGCTGCAAAGAGATGATCATTTGCCCTTCTGAAAACATGACAAAGCACTGGGAGACTATTAGCACTTGAGTAACTTCATTGCCAGTGGAACAGTCTGTATAGATGTGTGTATATGCATACAACAGCTTTTATTCCATACCTGGCCAGATAACCTTAGCTAAATGTACCTAAGAAACAAAATTCAAGGAACAGCTTGGGTTAACTGTGTGGAGAGAATGTATCCTCAGGTCTCTTATTTCTCCTATTTGTCAAGTTGTTGGAAAATTTTGAACCAGCTGAATAAAGTTTCTCTATTTTCTAAGGGGTTTTTTTCTCATTTTCCTGTTTCTTCATTGTTCTTTCCGGGCAACACAGGGTGATTTTCAGGTTTTCTTCTCTATTGCTAATACAATTTTTTTCAAAACATGCCAACTGGACCAGGCCTGGAGGTGGGCTGAAAAAGTAGGCTCTATCTAATGGAGACTGCCTTTCTCAGCTTCTCAGGTGGGATCCCAGCTGCTTAGGAAACGAGATGATCTCTTGCTCCTCCCCTTAGTGATTTAGTACAAGTCTGTCAAGAGAGGAGAAAGCAGGAAAGCTTTTTTTATTCCTGAGAGTGCTAGGAGAACTGCCACAAAGCTGTAAAAATCGGGGCTATCTTTTAATCTGTTCTGCAGTGCTTGCCTGTGATTTGAGGGAAGAGTGGTCCTGTGCTGCAGCTGGATTTCCTTGGCTGGGAAAGTGGAAAGGAAGAATGTGTCACCTGTAGCTGAAGGTAAGAAAGTAAAAAGCCAGGCTGGAAGCAGAGGTGAGCATGGTGTGAGATTGGTGAGGAAGGGAGGTGGGCAAAGCCAGTGGCCCAAATGGAAGTGGGCATGGACCAGGAGGTGATGGCAGGGCTGATAGCAGGAAGACTGCAAATGGCATAATTGCTTTACTGGTTTTTTGGAAGAGCTTTGCTGGTTTTTTTGGAAGAGCTGGCTGTAATAAATGCTTTATGCCCATTCAAGGTAGGGCATAGAGGATTCCAAAGTCAAGAGACTGACCAGACATACAACTCTGGAATAGAAAGAGTCATCTCCTTGCAACTCACCTGTGCTCTGTATATCTCAGCCCATCAGTTGTTTTCTGCATTATAATTTTGGTACTTGTTCTGTCTTTCCCTCATATGCTCAATGCTTGTCAAATATATGTTCTTGGGACCTGTTGTCACCTTATTGTCTGAAGGTCTCACCTCTCTGCCAGTCTCTCTGCATGGTATGTTAAAATTCTTAGGGTCCCACCATGTTTTTCTACTGCCCCAAATCCCTGCTGGTCACAGCTTTATCCCTGTGTGCTCCTACTTTTATGTCTTTTTGTGTGTATACAATGTGTTTCCAACCTCCTGATCCCTAGGAAAAGGGAATCTTGTCATGGAGCCAATAAAGAAGTTGGATAAATTTAATAATATAATAATAGTAAGTTAAATTTGATAGACTCATGATAATGTGAATGTGCTTGAATTTAGTGACTGGCTCATTACTAATTTGCCTCTTCCTGCTTCTTCTCACCTGTTTCTTCTAATTAGTGTGTTGTTACACACAGATGAGATACCTTTTCCCAGGTGAGACAGGTAGTAGCAAGACTCAGCTGTGCTCCATTATAAATCATTTACTTCTGCTCTCAAAAAAAGACACTTGCAGGGAACAGAGGAGCTCTTCATATTTGCAAGCCAGAGCCAGATTGATTCATTGATGCAGCTGTAAGTTACCAAGACTCAGTGACAGTGTCCTCCTCAGTACAATTGCTTGTTCTGTCTATTGCAGTTATTTTCTTCAGCAGCAGCCCTGGCTCAGCATCTAAAGGTGAGGGCTGAGGGTGTCTGTACCTCCCTGGCTTTCAAAACTCAGGCAATCCTTTTCAGTCTGTTTCTTTGTGGTTTGGTGAGCAGTTTCTGGGGGGAAAAATGATGCGATGTGTTGTGGCGTTTTAGTCAGTTCCTCTTCCCTAATCTAGAATAAAATCCAAAATGTGCAATGCTCTGTATTGAGGGATGGAAGTAGGTATTTGTCAAAAACATGCAGCAGTTCTTTCTGTCTTTCTACCCCAAATGTGATCAGAAGATTACTCCAGTTATCACTGAATTTAGTCAATTTGTTCTGGTGTCCATGGACTGAGAATCTCTTGCTGTAGGAACAAAAAAAGACAGCTCCAGAAGTTTCCTCTCTTGTGAATATTTTTAGAGTACTCTTCCAGGCTTTCAGCAAAAAAACCCTGGACTTGTAATGTCTCTGAGATGAATATAAGACCCACTCTACTGCAGTTAATCATATTTGGTAGTAGGTTTTACATAAACTGTCTACATTAGCTTGATCTATTAAAAAGTAGAGAGTTTTAGGTGATAAAATAAACACTGGAAAAATACACAGCAGAATTAGATGACCTGTTTCTTTGCTTTAGTAGAAGGCTTCATGTCTTTCACTGTAAAATCACCCACTTTCTCATTTCCAATTTTTTTCCAGCCTAGCTGGGGTTTTTTTCTGTGTCTTTCCCAGAGCATCTCTCTGTAGAGACATTAAAAGCTTTCAGCAGGGTATATTTTGTTGTTGGGGTGACACTTTGCTGCGTGCCTTCTGCCTTTTTGTTTCATGCATGGAGATGATGGACTCCAATACCAGTATAAGCCTAGAAGTAATGATGTGTTAATAACCTCAGTACACACTAATGAGGGAGTGTTGCCTGCAGTGAGAATTCCCCTTTGCTGGTGAGTGATGTGTCTGTGGAGCTTGCTATGTTGCTGTTCACCCAGTAGACATGGGGTTATGGTAATGAGGTCCTGAGGATTTAGAGAAGTTACTTTATCACTGCTGAAGAGATTTAAGAATGGTTTTGTTAAAGCTTAGTAATCATAACACTGGTCTCTGCTGCATACAAATGAGCAACCCAATCCTACAGCCCTGCTGCTGAGGGCAGCACTTAGTCCTGGAAGATGTAGTGATTATGTGATTAGCCAGGAGGCTGAATTCTGCCGTTTCTATGTGAGGTTTAGCAGTGTTAAACCTACACCGAGGACCTAGAGTTGAGGTAATCACTATCCTGTTACAAGTTTCCTGAGTTATCTGCTCCTCAGCCTTTTATTGCCATAAATAACTCTAGAAGTCAGGCCTCACTGCCAGAAGTGTTAAGTGCTGCAAATAGTAGAGAAGATGACTCATGAAGTGAGATGAAGGTGGAGCATGAATCAGTAGGAAGAAAACTGATATACAAAAGAGACATTCTGAATGCAGATGACACAAAAAGTCTGAACAAAGCAATGTTCAATCATCATAAAAATGAATCAAAAAGGTTTTTTGTAAAAAAAAAAAAAAAAGAAACTCTTCTATTTAATGAGAGAGATTATTCCAGTCAAAGCACAAAGGTGTTGCACACTGACCATGTTATTCCTTACCGAAGACAAACTGTAGACTGCATATAAAGAGATGGTTGGGAAATTCTTCCCAATGTCCATACAAAGCAGAGTATTCAGCAAGCAGGTTGCTTTCCAGATTGTTCTGTGTCTATACAAGCTAAGAAAAGAACTTGTCTTTGAGCTAAACAGTTTTGGAGATCAAGAGTCCTTGTAGCTTCAATGAACCCACACTGAAAGCTAACAGCAAAAGAAGCACTAAAATAACCTGAGCACATTCCTTGTAAATGATAACTCATGATAAGGAGATTAAATTCCCACAGACTGTTCCATTTGAAATGACAGCTTTTGGTGCTTTTGCTTACCCTCCAAAAGCTTGTACATGTAAGAGTGCCTTTAAAAGCAGACTTGGGAAAAAAGGTACCTGATAGATGACATCCTACAGCTGTTAGTGCACTAAAGCATCCTGTTCTGCCTATAATTCAACTCCTGCTACTTCTGGGAGAAGGGGTGTCTATTAAGGGTTCAGTGTAACTCCTCAGAGGTGAGAATGAAATATTTTCATGTTGACATGACAATGGTACTTTAGGCATTAGAAAAGGGTTCCTTGTTAAGGGGATGGTCAGGCCTTGGAACAGGCTGCCCAGGGAAGTGGTCATGGCACTAGGCCAGTCAGGGTTCAAGAAGCATCTGAATGGCACTTAGTCATGTGGTCCAGTTTTTGGTAGTCCTGCAAAAAGCAGGAAGTTTGACTCAATGATTTTTATGGATCTCTTCCAACTTGAGATATCCCATGATAAGCAATCTTTTTGAAGCAATAAAGGGTTAAAGAGGTTCCCCCTGCCCCCAATTTCCAGCAGTTGCTAAAATGTAATAATGGAAAGAAGACTAGATATCTGTGTCTTAGATGAAAGCTGTCTCTGCTAGCATTTTTAATAAGAACCACTGTGAAAATTGTAGAGGTTGATTTATCCTCCATACATGGTGTGTATGGCTTGGCTTTGTGATGCTAGATCAATAAAATGTTGCTCTCAAAGGTGCTGCTCCTTTAGAGCAGTAATGCTTAGAGAAAAAAGTGTAACAAGGCATCCTAACTTGTACTGCTTTGAGTTCCTTTGTTCAAGATAAAGTAAGGGATGGTTGGAAGACAAAAGCTTCTAATGTGGCTGTTTCACAGTATTGGCTGTGGCAGGAAATCTGGAGAAGATGGGTGATGCTGCCAAGGCTTAAGGGAGGCAGATACTTATGTGAAGCAGAACTATGCACACAAAGGGAAAGCTCTAGCAAGGTTCTCTCCCCAGTATTACTGTAAAAATAATCTCAAACCTGGTTGTACTCATCTTTTATAGTGTTGTGATGTGAATTTACCTGTGTGTTAATGAGCAAAATTCAGAGCTGCATGTTATAATTTGCAGTATGTCTGGGTACTGCACCTTTTCTACTGTGTCTGTTTGATCTGCCTATTCACAGGAAATCTGCTGGATTTGAGCTTTAATGGAGTAAGTTATTCTCAAGGAAGGCAGCACAAGCTGAGTTTTCTGTTGCTGCTAAGGGAGAGCTAATAGTTAACAGCTACTGATAGAGATTTATGTTTTCACTTGTAGGCTACCCAGCAGTGGCCCTAGCTCAAATATAAAGTATTGCTTGGAAAAGTTGGCTTTGTTAGCAAAAAATATGAAGTTCATTTTAAAAGCTGTACTCATTTTAAGACTGAAAAAAGTGCCTTCTTCCTGTTGGGAGAATAGAAATTCTCTAAGGAGAAATAGCAAAGACTGAGTTCCTGTCAATAAAAGAGTATGTGTAATTTAATACCAGGCAGCTTTTTAATACAATAGGAGAAAAAGAGCAGACAATTGCCTCTGTTATGAAGGGGAAAAATACAAAAACCTGCCTGCGGTATGTTACCTAAATTTAGCCACAGAGGGACCAATCCTCTTGGATACTCAAAAATCTGAGTGAAGTAAAGGCTATAGAGAAGCTGTACTTGGAGACCCTCTATCCCCGTTTTCCAAAGTGCTGGTAATAGGAGATGTGTTAGGCAGCACCAGTGGCCAGACTGTAACACAGCCCTTGCTTGTTTAGTCCTTTTTTATTGCAGAATCGCAGAATCACAGAATATCAAAGTTTCTGTGAAATTTTCTTTTCAATAATGTAAGTGGCTGAGGTTAGAGATCTGTGAATGGCTTCCCTCAAATGATAAAGCTACTCAGAATCATCCTGGGTTCAAGCTTGAATTGCTGCAGTGTTCAAGCAGTGGTGGGACCATGCTTTGAACAATGCATATCCATAAAGGTGTTAAACTCCTTACAGATGTCCTGCAGACCCTCTCTTTCTTGACATCTGTACTCAAAAGCCTATCTAGGAGAGGCATCTGATCCTCAGCACAATGCTTGATAACAAAATAAAAAACTTGAGTTCAGAAGCCAAAATAAGCCACAGATTATCATTCAGAATGCAAAGAAAATGGACACTAGCTCCTTAGTCAAATACCAGTTCTAGATTTTTTTAAAATCAATTTTGTAAAGGTTGCTTAGGTTGAGATCAAATATGAATTGTAGATTTCTCAGAAGTGTTGCCATTAGAGATTTCTGATGTCTTAAATTAAGTTTCATTTTAAGTCCTGATAGCAACTTTTCTCCTAGTTTCATGGGCCTGAGAAGCAAGCTTGTATCCCTTACTGGTATGCCCTTCCAGTGAGTTTTTCAAAGAGCAGGTTATTTAGTACTGTTATTACCTTTGTCTGCATTTGAAACAACTGGAAACTATTGCCAACTTCTGTTGTGTTAACACTCCTACAACACAGTTCTCTGTTAAACAACTTGCTTCTAAAAGTCTTAGAGGACAAATGTGTGGATGCATTTAGTGTGCAAAAGCTGCATCTCAGGGTGCTCACAGCAGAGCCAGAGCTGTAGCAGGAGTCCAGTTTCATATGACACTTACCTTGTTCTCATATGCTTCTACAGTTCTGGCAGTGGTACTTTGACTCTTGATTACTCCCTGCATCCTCAGCTCCTCAAGAATGATGATTTTTGCCTCTCTGTTTCCTCTAAGGGTCATGATTTACTGATGAACTCATTGGTGAGCGGTGTGTCGTCAAAAGATGTAAACATTAAAGCACAATACTTGTACAGCACTTGGCGTTCAAGCAAAGCTTCAGGATGTATTTCCAATGCCACAGTTTTTGTTTAAGAGGTTGCGTAGACTGAGACTGTCCAGTGGAGAAGGCCAGCTGGAGCCTCTCTTCACCGCTTAAAGTTTGCAGTAAATATTTTAGTGGCTTGAAGAATGGTGCAGGTGCCAAGTCCAGTTACACCCAGAGAGGTATGTTCTGGAAAGCATGGAAGCTTATGCTGAAGACCCGTGAAGCCAATTTTTGAGCACGTTCCCAAAAGAGTCCATAGGAGCTCCTGATAGTTTGAATTCTTAGGGGTTTTGTGATCTGGTTGGAGAAAGCCAGGCTAGGACGGTGTAGTACAAGTCTACTAATGAGCCGTGTTGTAAAGATCACTGTTTGTCTGTTAAATACACCCAAATGTTCATGCATTTTTGTGGTATGTGATTTTTGTTGTAACAGCATTGCTACATTTGAGTCTGATCATAAGCATTTCAACAATTATATGTTTATAGACAGCATTAGGACTAAAACCCAAGTTATCAAATAACTCTTCTGAGTATCTGTTTAGTTTCCACATATTAGACATGAATAAACAATGAGCAACTTTAGGGCCAAGACCCATTGTGTTTTGAAGCCCTCAGCTGACTGTTCTACCATCTGCCCAATCTCTACTGGCAGAAGTGAGAGCTCTTGTATGAAAAATGCTTGGACCAAATCAAAATTGCAGATATTTGACATCTGCCAGTCTTCATAAGCAGAGGGAGTATGACAACGTTGTCTTGTTTTTTAGTTGTAAAACAAAAATACAGAACATCTACCACCCTGTAGCTGACTCTGCTCCTAAAATAACCAAACCAGTTACCCAAAAAGCACTGGGGTTCAGCTGTCAGTCAGAACATGCAAATGTCAGAAGCCAGTATACAGCAAAATGCACCCTGGCAAAAAATAAAAGCAGGATGAGTGGGCAACGCTGACAAGTGATGTGAATTTGTATTGGTTTTACTAATCCATTCAGGAGAAAAATGTGGTTGAAGTGTCTTGGTATGGTATGTCTTTTTTTGGTGTTGGAAAAAGAAGATTGAGGCATGATCTCAAAACTTTCTGTTTAGAAATTTCCTGTGAAGTTATCCTTTAGAAAGTGGGAGGAAAGCGAGGTTAAAATTAAATGAAACCATTTCAGAACAAGCAAATAATTTTGTTCAATATGAAATGAAATCCTTTCATTACATCCTTCTGTGGTATTGGGAGTTAAGTCTTTTTTAATGATTAGCAAACACCACTAATTTTTTTTTGTGTTCCATTTGAAATACTTTATTACAACTTTTGTTTATTATAGAGAGTAAGCAACCACTGTAGATACTCCATTTAGCATGTTTGTGAAACATAACATGTTCACAGCACTTGAAAAATACAAGAGTTAAACTTTGAAATAAGGGGGCTCAGATAAACCAAAAAATGGTCCTGCTTCTCCATTGGCAACTCTTACTGCAATGGTATCCTAAGATTATAGAAAAGTTTGGGTTTAAGTGCTCACTTGCATTTGAAAGAAAAAGTTCTTTGCACACATTTGCTTGTTGCCATGATGATTTCTGGAGTTTTTTGTTTGTTTGTTTGTTTGTTTTCCTATTATACCTGGCTTTGCAACCTCTGGTTGCAAATGTGAGGAAATAAAAGGATATTTACTTACTGTCTCTACCTGCTGCTTGTCAGGGCATTGTACTGGCTGTGGTAAAAACTGGTTCATTGTAACATCAGACTGAGAGCCCTCCTGTGGGCAACCTCCCTTTCCAATGTACTGTAATCCCAGTTAGAGAGGGTCCCCTTGTACCCCTGGGGACAAGGCTGGGTTTGTCCTCTTGGTCTGTTCTGGGCATCTTCCAAGAAAAGTATTGACCCTGCTTCCTCTTCTGGTAGTGATGGTTGAGTCATGCAGAAGAACATCATCATCATCATCAGCTACTTAGTGTTACTATGGCATGGCTTTAAACCAGTGCTAAGACCTCAGTCTGCATGGTGTCACAGCATGAACGATTCCTAGTGTGGAAGTTGGCTGTAGCAATAGACCTTTGAGATTATTTCCTCCTAGATCTGTGTTTGTTAAGCTGTTATGAACTTCTGTTATTGTTAACCTGTGCTTGGGTTATCTGAAAAGAAGTAAATCTTCATGGTGGTTCCTTGGGGAAGATTTCCTCACTTGTCTCATCAAGTTTGGCTCGATCCTTGAAGTCCCTTTTAGTCAAGCTGCCCCAGCCTGTGAGGCTCTGTCTCTGTTCCATCAATGCTGTCATTTCTAGTCTACAGCAAGACGAAGAAACAAATGTGAAAAGCTCCTTGGGCTTCTAAACATGTAAGGAGCTCTCTAGAGTAGTCCTATAGAATTGTGAGGTTCAGAGTACAGTGGAAGACAGAGGCATTCCTGATACCTTATCCATGTTCTGTCACAGGTGGATGGTGAGGGAAGGTCTCTTGGACCATTTCAAAATTAATTTTTTATTTTCCAATTTCAAAACAAAGCATAACTTTAAGCTTAAATGTGTCCACAATCCATTTGACTGTATTGAGAGTATTGTTTCAGTACTTTAAGGGCCTTCTATGTGCAGAACATTGGTTAGAAATTTAAAACTGAGTTTTAAATTAGCACTTGGTAAGGTGTTAGCCTGTGCACCTTCTAAGCAATAGCTTTGAACCTCCTAATAATGGAGGATTAGAGCCTAGATGTAATTTGTCTCTTCTCTGTATGTTTGGGCTTAAGCCAACTCAACTTTGTAAGCTTCACAAAGTGCCTTCACATATATATCTTGCATACATAATATTTGCATCTATACAAGCCCCCTGCCTCAAAATAACTTTTTGAGGCAAAATCCACCTTGCTGCAGTGTTGTAATTCATCACTGGTGTGGGAGATAAGTGTCTATAATTGTATCTTTAATGAGGCAAGTGGGACAGACTGTGAAAATCAACTTTTCAGGTGCTGTGAAATCAGATCATGCCTGTGGCCAAATGGTGAATCTGCTTTCCCTGTAGCAGGATTGTATTGAGCTGAGTGAGTGATAGCCTTTCTCCTTAAGAGAAAGGCTCCCTGACAGAGCTAGAGCTACCCCCAACATCAGCAAAACTATGTCCCTGTGTGCCCATGTCCTCCTGGTACACTCGTGTGCTAAGGCATCTCCTAATGTATTTCAGACAGAGTCCATGGGGAAGAGGTCACCCCCTGGCTTTTGGCTCCCTGGTTGTTCTGTAGGCCCTCAGAAGGCAGCTCTGCCACTGCAGCCTGGATAGAAATATTGTAGCCCATGGTGAAATTGTGACCATCTGCTCCTTGCTGCAAGTCCGGGGAGTAGGAATGCCCAATTCTCTTCCTTGAGAGCCTCGTTATTTGTTATCACCATGGAGTCTAACTGTTGCCAGGGCCTGTTTCTACAATAAATAACTCCACATACACAAAGCTTTCTACTTATGTCCTGGCATACAGACAGACATCATTGTCCTTGTTCAGACACTCCTCTCAGAAGATGAGAGGGAGTATGTTTCATCTGTGGAGCTGGGATGCTGGTCTTGGTGTCCCAAGTCTCTATAGGGCATTCAGGGTGTTAGCAAACCTCCTGTGGGAACTCAAGCTGTTGGATGAACAAGATACTGTCATGTAAAATACACACATTTCAATGTCTGGTTGAATTTGTTAAGTATACTTCAACACCACCATTATTAGCCATGGAAAAAGATCAGTTCTAAATCTGAAATTTCAGGCAAGCTTCTAAATGGGAGAAAATGTCATTGGGAGACAGGGACAGGCTAGGGAGAATGTTTTAAGCATCCTTTGAGATCATTGTACAATTTCTTGATTACTGTTTGAGCCTGTTCACATCCTTAGAAATAGATGTCTGTAGGAGATTTTAAAAAAGAAAAAAGCAGCCATAGTTTATGCTTTCAAGAGGTTGTTATAAAAGACAGCAGAGAAATGTTAAGTCAGTGCTGTCAGTTGAAGATCATGTCTTGGGTCAGTTGTGCTGACATCATCAGCTAGTTATAATTAGAAGAAAGAGAATATTTTTCCCCCAAATATTTACATGAAACAGACTCTTTGTATGAACTAAGGATTCAAAACCTTTTGAAGGGGAGCAAAAGCTCAAATAATTGCTAATAACAATGGAATTTGTTTTTTTTTTTTTAACTTCCTGGGACTCTGGTAACAAATGAATATCACTTTATGACCTTACTCTGACTTGTGGCAACATTTCTTTAAAACTTGTCATATTTTCTGTGTATTTATGAGAAACTGAGATGTTTACATGACTAATGTCTCTTTTAAACAGTAAGGCCAGTGGACTTTCAGAATCCAATGAACCCCACTGCTGAGACAGTGTGACTCCAGCCTAAGCGATCGCTCTGGCCGGCTGGCTGCAGGCAGCCTTCTGCATTCCTCTTGCCTCCAGTCCAAGCTCTCAGCTGCTCTGCCTGGAAAGCTGAATAAACTCATTTGCATGGCAGGGAGCCCGAAGTGACCTTCCCTGCCCCAGTGCGCCTGCCTGACTGTGTAAAAGCACTGCCCGAAGGCTCCTGTAGGGCTCCCAGGTTCTCTCTCGGCAGCGCCTCTGCCGAGCCCGGAGCACGTGTGGGGGGGGCTGTGCAGGGCGGGCTCAAATGTGCACCTGCTGGCTCTCGAGAAGCAGCTGTCTTCCAAAACATCTTGTTCTTTTCTCATCCCCGATCAACAGGGACTTGACTCTTGTGTTCAGTCTGAATTCACACAGAATGCAAGTCAAGTAACCTTTCGGTGTGTGGGTATTTTGTTGTTGCCGCTGTTCTGTTTTCTCTCTAGCAGATGTTTGCATATTGCACGAGGTAATGCTGAAATGTGATTGATGCTTGATGTAGGGCAGAACAGGATGTACAGGTTGAGCTTCTTGTTTGCATTTCTGATTAAATGCTTACTGTGATGGTGCAGTTCTAAAACTTGGTTTTAAGTAAATAATAGATGAAATTTTAATCTTTCAAAGAGGTGACTTTTATTTGTTCCTTCAAACACAGATAAGATGATAAAATGGAAATAACATCACTTATCAAAGTAAGAAAATTGATTAAATGCTAAATCATAGGCTGTAGCATAATCAAAAACTAGGTAAGCTTTATGATTTATGCTTTACAAATTGATTATTGGCACATAAAAGACAAGACAAGGGATAGTTTGAAGAAGTAAGTATACATGGGATGTAACAAGTGGCATGAAATTGGCCCTCATTAATATTTATGGCAAAGAACTTTCTCAGATCTCGACAAGATTTGTGCACTTAGAGCCTGAACTTTTAATATCTGATGCACAAGATTCAACTGACATGGTGAACGGTATGTTTTTGAACAATCAGAGCTAGAGGCTTTCAAGAGCAGACTGCTCTCATGCTGATGCTGACTGATGATAGAAAATCCTTTCTCTGATTCTAGCAGCTTTTCATTAATATGTAACATTAAAAATAAGCAAGTTTCAGTACAGTCAAGGCAGCAGGATGTGTGCTACGTGAAAAAATAGCAGATTTTCATAAATACAAATTAAGATATTTCCCTTTAAGAAAACGCATGGAATGGATCCTATGTGAAGCACAACATGGAAACTGGAGAGAAAGAGGATCTGTGAGAAGACCAGTAATGGTGGGAAAGGGGAATAAAGTGCAGGTCTCTCCATGCTTTGTCTTAGGAGAATGGAAACAAAAGCCAGTCACAGGGATGTGCGTGTTGGGGAATAATCACTACAAAATCAGAAAGCTGTTTCTATAATTGCTAGTGGTATGTGGAGGAAATTGAAATGTATGATTATTTTAAAATGAGGAGAGTTGTTTTCAAAACTTCCAAATCTGAAGCTGTTTGATGGCTTGCAGGATGCTTGGGAAAACTAAATGGGAGGGAGGACATCTTGGCATCTGTGACCTTATCAGCTGTCTCTGATTTATGCACCTAAATTAATGAGCTGCTGCAGAGAGGGGAGAAAAGTACTCTCCATGGAATGGCATTTCTGATAGACAGCAAGGCTTTGCTGGTCCTGCTTAAGTGAACGATTTCCCATTTAGTATCGCCACCCTGACATATATGCAGATAAAAAACATTCTTTTAAGGTTTGGAAGCTGACTGCAGTTATTAACGAAGGAAAGGTTGGCTGGTTTGAAAGGGAGGGGCAAATTTCTGAGATTCTTAGTCTGGTAACAGTCCTGCTGACTTTGAAGAATAGAAGGTGATGGTGGATTTTTCAGGGACTTTGAGTAACCATATTTCTCTTTGAAACCAGGAGTGAATAGTCAGGTGGCTAAAGAGGAAGTGCCCTGACAACTAGTGAGCACACGTAGTCATTTGGAGGGGAGTTTGAAGCCAAAAAGACTGCAAAACTGCAGCCCATACTGTGCCTGAAGAAGGAAAAAGGTGCTCATTTTCTCTGTGCTCTGGTGACTCCCCCTGGGGTGCTATTACAGCCCCAAGGAGGAAGCTTGGGGACATGGGTGATGGAGTAGAGGGGGAAAAGTCTACCCTGGGAGAGGGGGGCTGAAGCTGGGTTTGAGTCCAAGGCTGTTGGGGGCAGTAGGCAAAAAAATGAGCTGGCTTGTGGAATGAGCGGAAGGAAGGGCTAGAGAGAGAGATGAGGAGGTAGGCTTGGATGCATGGGATGACTGGAAACCAAAGGTGTCAGACATGGACCAAAACTAAGAATTTTTGCAAGTCAAAGCCTCTACAGACTGTACAAGAACTGCTGCACTTCAGTGACTGGCTGCTTAGCTAAATCCAAACAGGCCTTCACACACAGGCACTAGAGGATGTTTCTTTCCCTGTGGTTTTCTTCTATTCTTAATTTAAAATTTTACATGGGTAGTGGTAGATCAATATGTGAGTGCTTCCATCTCTGTCTCATACATGTCTTGTTAGGCTCTAGGTACTCCCAGATGGACTAAACAGCTTGCAGAGCTGACCTTTAATGCAGAGCGTGAATTTTGACAGCTTAATATTTGTAAGACTGGGATGATGGCTAAAATGGTGGCTGTAGTCAGTGGAGACCTGACTTGGTTGTGCTTTGCTAAACCAGCTCCATGGCTGGCTCTCTTGTGTGTGTTGTATTTCAGTGCTGTATGTGATCCAAATGCTGTACGTAATCTCTCCATGGTGACTGCACAGTATTTGTTTCTATTTAGGGAGAGAAAGAGGTCTGGGTTTTCTGCCAGAATTCCCACTCAGGTAATTACACTTCTGCCTGCAGAATTTCCCTGTAGCTTCAATTGTAGTAGCTGTTCTTTGCTCCCGCTACTAAAAAGTGTGAACATAGACCTGCTGCTGTGTTTTGGGAACACAGCAGTGCCTGCTTGGCTCAGGCAAGTGAAGTGACCCTGCTATGCACCCTTTATGCTAGACTTGCCCCTAGTAAAAACTGCTGCATCCAGTCATGCCACTCTGCAGCTCTCATCTTTCTGAGCCTGACTTTGGCATAGCAAGTTGGTCTTGATAGTGAGACAGCCAGCTGGAAGCCAATGAAAAGATGATTAAGAGCCAAGAGAAAGCCATATGGAGAGAGAGAGAGAGGGATTTCTCTTTACAGAGTTATAAGTAAAAGTGTTTATGTCTTTGGATCCCTCTAGCTGTTTTTTTCCCCTTATTTGCATCAGTTTTATGGGTGGGAAGTAGTTGCAGTCGATTAGCAAATGCTACCAAATCGCTTTAGCTAGAACAAATGTTGTAAACAGTAGATATTTTGGACAGCTCTGTCAATATTAAAAATCAACATGCCAACATTGTAATGGTAATAGCACATATGTCATCATTATTATGTTAATGTTAACTCCAATACTAGATATGATATCAACATAATATAAAAAAATATTGTTTTGCAAAATAAGAGATACTAAATGAAGGGCCTCTTGCTTCAAATTGACATAATGCAGGGATTTTTTTTTTCCCCCCGATCTTAAGACAGCAGAGCTAATAAAGTCCATCGCAGTCTGAAAACTCTTCAGCAGTTGCTGAATTATCTTTGAAGTCAAAGTAAACACAGACTGTGTTCACTCAGAGCCTTATACAGAGATTTCAAACAGAGGATGTCCAACATTAATAAGTTAAGACTCATCAAACATAGCGTAGATAGTAAACAGAACCAAGACAATTGAAGCAAATTATTGATTCATGGAATTCATTCTTTCACTTCACAGAATGTTCACATGCAGATTGTGTTCTCTTGAATGCAGTTCTTATTCAGATTTACTAAATGAATGTTATGGTGAGTGTGTGGGTTTAAAGAAAAAAAATTCTGTTAACTAATTCTGTATAGAT